TTTCACGAGTCAACAATTATTCCAATCAAGATGGTAGACTGTGAAACTCACCTGTGGCGGAAGAGGATATCTTAAAGTCGTCGGTGACAATTTTGATATCCAGATTGATCAACTCAAGTGAACAATTATGAGGCTGAAGTTGGGTGAGGTCTTGATCGACAATGTCAGAAGATGCGACCACAAGTACTTTGAAACAGATCGGCAATACTATTTATGATTGTTACAATTGCATTGGAACGATGGATACTTGAAAAGTACTTTCAAAGTTAGCATATTCCTCATCGACAATGTCGATTATTAGCTTGACTTACCTGGACTTGACATGCACTTTCAAGGAATTATCGTACCAATCCGGGAATGTAGAATGAGTAGATATCGATGATTTGACAAACAGTATTGTAGGAGTAGTGTTACTATTACAGAGTAATTGAAACAATACGTGTGCGTACAATGGTATCTCGGTTGCATGAAGATGAGAGGATGTGGAAGAGAAGAAGAAGAAGAAGTGAAAAGATTCTCTACATTGCTGCCTATCAATTGCAGCATCATGAGGAAGGGTCAACCTCATGTTGTTGAGAGATTGAGGTGCGATAAGGAAATCCAGTCCAGAAGGGAAGGGGCGGTCGTGTTTGTGGGCGAGTCCAGGTATCCAAGAAAGATTCAGTCCAGAAGGGAAGGGGTGGTTAGTGTTGAAAAATCCCAAGTATACATGGGAAGGCACTACCTTCAATATACGAGGGGAACATTAAAGTCCATTGTGAACGAAAAAAATCAGAAAATCAAAAAAAACCAACTAACCAATTCCGGGGTCGCGTTTTGCTGCATACGAACTTAAAAAGGTCAGTAAATGAAACGATAAATGAGGGTGTAGAAGACTAACCCAATGAGCAACGTATCAAATTGGTTGTTGTTCTCAAGCCACTGCTCTGGATTATTGTTACTATTTTTTTGTATTAGCTACATCGTACCATGCACTGTGTGATGATGAACATACCTGTCGATGTATATCTTTGCTAAAGCGTTGTATACAGCTTGTTGCTGGTTACCTGCAGCCAGGGTTGCCTCAAGGAATGGCAATAGAAGCTTAAGACGGTTTCGTGTTTCAACCTCATGAACAAGTTCATCGATAGGGATGGAAGCATGATTGACTGAATTCAAAAGGTTCTTGATAATTTGCTCATCACAGTCAACATCAAGTAAACCACCAACAACAGCAGGTGTTCGGGCTGGGTTCACACGCTGAACATAGACCTCGATAGATTGAAATTGTTGATTTTGATAAAGGTAGAGTACCAACTCGTGAGTAAAGTTGAATCGATCACAGACGATGATGAGTGGCAATTGCTCGGTCAATTTGGCTTCCTTTAAGAAGTTCTTTACGCGTTCAGGATTGTAGAAATTGGAATCTCTGCAAATGCGTTCCACCTCGTTGAATTGCTGCATCTTGGCGGCGCTCTCAATATATTTAAACACGACGTTTTGATCTTCACTCAAGTTGACAATGCTACCAAGATAATGGTAGAGACCCTCGGCAGTCTTGTACTTCTCGAAAAGATCAATCAATCTGACAGCACCGAGTAAATCAGAGTATTTGACAGCGATTTGAACAACAGCCGCAAGGTTTTGACGAATGTTTACCTTGAGCATAGCATCAAGACAATCTAATGACTGCTCAAGGGACAAGCGACCAAAGTAACCAGTAAGCCATTCTTGACTGAAAGTTGGCGAAGCAACAATATTGACAATTACGCGTTTGATGGCTTCAGGGTCTTCATAGTGCTCCAAAGCTCTTTGAGAAAGGCCAGCTTGCTCACACAATTGTGCGATTCTAGGCTTATCATAGTGTGAGAACATCTCATTACCAAGAATGGCGTCGGCAACTTGAGGAGCATTCATGAGATTCATTTCAAGAAGACGAGTCTGCAAGTGTCCTTGCTCTGGCTTATTTTCCTTCAATGCATCAAGTAAGAATCCCGTAGCAGGTTGAACCATTCCTTGAGACTGGAATACATCTACAACACGCTCAATATCGACAAGTGAACCACCCTCAGTGTTTGCCAACTGTGTAGCGAACTCGGCTCCCTTTTCGGGGTTGATGGAGATGATGTTACGAAGTAATTGGACATAGTCTGGTTGATAACCTGCTTGTTGGGCGTAAGGTAAGATCTTCTCGAACTGGCCGCTCTCTGCGAAAGCAGCAACAACTTTGTGAGGAACGTTTGCCTTGAGATAGATAGCAAGTGCAAGCTGTGTATCTTGTTGACGGACAATGTCACCTAATTCTTCGGAACAGTCAAGCTTGTTCTCCTTCATCCACTTTTCAAGAAGATGCTTTCGGTTCTGGGCCAAGACAGGTCGTACAAGCTCCAAAGTCTCGTGTTTATTCAGCGATCCCTTGTCAAGTAATACACCAAAGTATTGCAAGATGACAGATAGTTGACCTGGAACAGCCGGTACATTCTTAAGACGTTCGATGGTTTGTGGGGTTCGCAAGAAGCCGCGAGGAGAGTTTGCAGCGATCTTTGATGCCTCAGAGTAGTTCCCTGCAGACAAAAGTTGCTCGAATTGGTTGGCATAGAGGTTGTCCGCACCAGGTAGACCGGCTCTCGAAGCAAGCTTGACGGCTAAACCAGAGTTTGCAGGATTTTGGAGGAGGTATGGAATAATTGTCGTTTCATCAACAGATACCGACAATACCTGTCCTCTTCGGTTGACACCAACAAGTCCTGCGGATTCCGAATCGCCAGCTGTGATGAAAATCGTCTCGCTCGAGATACGGTTCATGAAAATACATGTACCGGTTTCAAGATCGTAAAGGTGAATAAAGCCGTATTTGGTAACCAAATAAATAATGCTGTATTTTTGTGAAACTTGCATTGCAACTGGGAAATCGTTTACGGCTTCAGCAGGGAAGTAAACATCGACTGCCTTCTTCGAGAATGTTGGATTTGAAGCTTGGTGGTCGACCTCGACTATGTGTAGCTTTGCGCCAGTAGCAGTCCGAACCGAAAATGTGAATACCTTTGTATCTGCTGGGGCCGATTCCAATCGTAATGTACCGAATGCTGCCGCGTGACCTTCGATAGCCTGACTGATGCCTCTGTCTTTTGAATAAAGTTGCATCGCTCCTACCACTCGTCCTTGTTGTTGTGTAATGCCTACGACTACCATCCACTTTCCATCGCCGCTAACACGATAGTTGATAATTTGGCATCCCTAGCATAACATTAATACCAATCCTTTTCTCAGAAATAAATAAGACTCACAGCAAGATTTGGATTTCTCTTGAAGACCTCTACCGGGGAAGCCTGATTTGGGTCAAATACATCCCAGTGATAAACTGTTGTATCAGTAACCAAACCCAAGCTTGTCTCACTGAACCATTTCCAGAAGACAACATCTTCGTTCATGGTAGCAGACTTCAGCTTTGCCTTGGCGCCCAAGTCAAATATCTGTAAGGTCCTTGATTGTGCCTTTAATGCGATGACCTGTTTCGACCAGTGCATGATGGCACTATCCGCCTTAATAGGTCTTCGAGTGACAGCATTGTTCTGCTTTAGATCAACGATGACGACTTCTGGTTGTGCAGCTTCGTTCTTCTTTTCTCGTACGCAGATGTAGGAATCTGACTCCAGTGTCTATTCGAGTAGTCAACACATGCCCAATGCTCAATTCAAAATTACGGAATTACTTACACACGAATTAAAACCTATCGATTGTGCCTACAGGATTAATTGTTAGCAAGCCAGATCGAGATTGGATGTTTGAAGCTGAAGTCGTTATGGCAGAAGCTGGTGAGAATAGCTGTGTTGTGGCTGGTACATACCTCAACCCCGACACTTGTTAACTAAATTAAAGTCAGTAAACACAAGTCAACAATCCCATCATCGCACAACTCATATCATACCTGGAGAAGCTCCGTAAACTTGATTGGTAGTGGAGCCATATTTACTGGTTCTCTGATCTATGCGATCAAAGGAAATGGCCTTATTTAATTGTTGACCCAATGTAGTGGGCAAGCTATCTGCGCAGAGAGGCGCTGTTTACCCAGAAACGTGCTCAATTAAAAACAAACGGAAGTTTGAAAGTACAAGAGTTGTGGAAATTAATTAAGAGGATTTAAGAGATACCCAGACTAAGGGTATGTTGCGGAATATGGGATTTGAAATGTGGAGAGGATATGTGGTTGTATTGCTTCTAAAAACTGGCCTTGTCACTTGCGACGACGACAATTGTAAACGGCTGGATCAGTGAGCAAGGAACGCGCTAATCCGTTTTAGTCATTTGAGCTAGCCGCGTCACGTGATAGGATATCTAAGGGGCACGACCTTTTTCACTAGCGTTCAACTTTACGTCAACACTCATTTTGGCAACGATGAAGCTATCAATCTTTCTGAAAGTTTCCAAAATACAATGATTCGCTTTCACACCTAAGGCGGCTCCTGATTGTGTTCCACAAGGTTCGGCTTCTAGTAGTGAAGCTGTGGGTAGACCGCGTCACCCGGAACAGCATTCTTGTATCTTTACAGTTAGATAAAGCTGCTTGATGAATCGGCAATCGCTTTCTACGATATGGTCATTTGGCATGACACGATTCTCACCAGATTGTTCATTTTGCTATGTTATCTGCTTCAAAAACGGCATATGTACACAGTTTTACCTCATCATTGTTTTCTTTTCGCGTTTGCTTTGTTCCCCTATCAAGCAGACCACGCAGACATGTTTGTCAACCACCAGTCAAGTGTATTCGGTTTATGCAGCATCCGAGGTGGATGTATTGTTTAGAGAATTTAGGTTCTCGGGTAGTTCTGGGGGTTTCTCCAGCTTCAAGATATCAGTAACAACATCTGATGCACGATCAACACTCAAATCATCATTTCTTATTAAATTCATCGTCCCTGTCACACGTCAAACTCTTACAGATCCCCATACTTACAAAATGTTCCATTCCGCCAATGTCATTGCAAGTATGGTACGTAGCCTGTCGTCATAAGCTATACTTATACTATATCCTGTATTGTTCGTTCCCTTGACTCATTGTTACCATTGTATTTACAACCTCTGTCTTTCGAGACATTGTCTTCAGTGTCTTCATTCTCAATCTTATAAATTTGCGTAACCAAAATACCTACTTCCTTCCCGGTGCATTTCGGTTCGGGATGCTCTGGAATATGCTGTAATATCCCCCTTTGACTACTCTTATCCCCATCGCTAGCATTTATGCTTTCATTATAATTATCTGCAGTGTCGTTCCCAGCTTCCGTAACCATCGTCGTTGCAAGACCGTCTTCAATATTCCGTAATCTGATGGCGCGAGCTTTCATGTAGCCTTTTTTATGAGGTGTTGCAATGGTTGGAGGGCTGGGTCTATCGTCTGAGGGGCCATAGGAACCGTTTCCTAAGCGAAACGGAGTAATGGTCTGAGAGCACTGAGACATGCTGCTATTATTCCTAGACCGATTTCGATGGTAGACCACCAGACGATGGGAGCCACGCCATAGAGATAGTCAACTGCTTTTGCATAGTTGGGAAAATATTTGACACGAATTATCGTGGCTATGCTAGCGAACATACCCATTCCTAAGAGAATACTGATGGCGACTTTGATTCTGGGAGAGAGTTTCAAGTTCCATACTATGAATGCGGGGGATAAGGGCAGTAGACCAGTCGGTGATGATGTTCATGCCCGAGAAACAATAGCTTAGGATGAGGATAGCATTGATACTGCTGCATTTCCCATCGGGAATGGTTTTGTCCCAGGTGAATGCCATGGGTCGACATGTTACAATAACAGCTATGTCGGAAATGAGGACTGTCGCTACGGACCCTGCCATGATTGCGTAGAGAATTTTTCTGTAGGTCAGGCTGGGTGTTATGCGCATTAGGGAGATACAGATGCTAGCTTTGACTGGCAATGTACCTGTCAAGGTGAAAAGTTGAAAGAGAGTAAAGTACTGTTCTCTTTAATTAGCGACCTTAATTTCAATACCACTATCCGCATGTATGTACTAACCTTGACTGCAGGCTCCATTTCTGCGGCAGTAATAGTAAGGTTATGAACACCCAGGCCATGGATTGCGGACATCGTCGACATGGAGACATTCATCACAAATATGATCTATATCAAATTAGCAAACTCGCCAAATTATGAGAAACGGTACTCTATATACCCATCCCAGCAGTATCATCCAATCGTCCAAGCCGAACGCTTCACGCGTTACCCGAACCAAGCATCGCAATGCTAATGTAATGGTCGATAGTCCAAGAAATACAAAATTGACAATGACAATTGTAAGAGCCCTCTGTTCTAAAACCATGATGGTCTAGTCTAATATGTGCTCAGCACACCACCGGCACTCTTTTGACGAAGTTAACCTCGGAAATGAAGCTACAAACAGAACGATCGAATAGCACAACTGCCAGAGTCATGAAGATAAGTGAACTCCGAGTGAAATGTAATAAGTTGCACCAGAGCGGATTTAGGTCTTAGGGAGTTCTTTAAAGTCGAGCCTTCAAGAGCAAAACCCTGAGGGTTGGGCTGAGGTTCCATATTTGCGGTTCTTTTTGCAAACCTCAAAAGTTTAAAAAGCAATGTTATACCACGAAAGGATACACAGCAATTTTAGATCTGTGCAAACCTTACCCTTTAACACAACGAATTGTTTCAAGTATTGTCAAGAGCCATAGGCGATACCATGTCTAAAAGGAAGATCACCAAACGGCAAAAAATCTTATTTCCATGTGGGAATCATATAACTACCAACAATTTTTCATGCAGGCTAGGAAATTTTAATGTCGGTTTGCCAGGGGACAAATATTGATGTCTTCTTTCGTCCTCGTCGGACCGCACACCATGGGGTCGATCAGCCGAGCAAGCCCCATTTGGGAATACATCATATTCGGAACACCTGCCCCGAACAAGGTATATAGAGTACGGGGTAATACAAACGTTTCGTGTAGTGATACCCATGGATGTTACAAGTCGTTCCATTGTCATCTTGCTTTTGTTCAGAAATCGTCCACTTTTATCAACGTCCATCCCTTTCCTAATGCGGTCAGAAACCGTTTGAAAGGATTCGGGAGTGGAGAGTGTGGAGTGTTGTCCCTTGAGAATACATATTCACATTCTTTTCTTATGAGTGTGGTTCGGTCGACAGGGAGAGAATTGTAATATGTTTTGTTGTACCACTTATTTATCCACTATCCACTTTTGAGATGATCTCCGTTGAATTCCCGGAACCTTATTTCATGAATTAATTCATATGATTGGATGGGTGAAGAATATTGGCATCGTAGGTGGAAGCGTTGCATATTTTTGATTTATGGCGGTGGCAGAACATGGGCGAGTTGCACATTTGATATATCATATTGTCTTGGGTGATGGATTTTGCCGGTTATCTCCCTTATGGACCACGCTGTCGGGCTCTGAGATGCCTAAGTAAGAGCAAATTCTTATTCTTGAATTATGCAAGGAGCCAAGACGTCCGTAGGATGCCACAGGTTGATTCCTTATCTGTCTAAATGGTGAGTATGCAGAGCGGCCCGTTATTCTCCAAGCATCAGGGCTCTTGTCCATATGAACAACATGGTTTTTTCTCCACGTGGTGATCAGGTCCAACAAACAATTTGAGAGTTACAACGTTTCCAAGTACTCGTGCGGCCAGAAAGTATGCAACTCCGGCGCTGTGAAAACCAGGTTAGTCCTCTTGTAGTTTACCATCTTGTGGTATGTGCATCTAGCATCGGAGTTGCATACTTTCTGGCAGCACGAGTACTCTCACAGTCAGAACACATGCAGCTTCGAAGCTAGTCAATGCACATGCCACGCGATAGGTAGCCACGCTAGGAATGGTCTTGGTTTCTTAGCTCCGGACCTGTGTACTTTCTGGTGGGACAAGTACAGTATATAGAAGGATTATAATATTTCTTTGCATATGCTACGCGATAGTAGAATAGACTAAGAACGATCTTGGTTTCCTAGCGCCGGGCCTGTGTACGTTCTGGCAGGATAAGTATATAGAAGCGCTTTGATCTTTCTTTTCATCTGCAGAATAACAAACTTCCAGCAATTTTTTTTTTCATTGAAGATTACGAGGCACGACGACACGGATTACGCTAACAGTCAGCTGCGAAGATGGCCGACAAAACCTCATTCAGAGTTGTTATCATTGGAGGCAGTGTGGCTGGTCTCGTGTTGGGCAACATGCTTCAGCTGAACGGAATCGATTTTATCATTCTGGAGGCCTACCCCGCCATAGCTCCCCAAGTCGGGGCCAGCATAGGATTGCTCCCTAACGGCAACCGAATCCTCGATCAATTGGGATTGTTCGACAAGATTCTGGGACTGGCGCCTCCGGTTGAGCGGTTCAATTTTCGCAATAGTAAGGGTGAGAGGATCGCAGGTCATTCTGGGATGAGACATTCTTTCGAACAGAGGTAAATACATACATACGGGTGCCGTTGGGAAAACTAGAGTATGTTCTGATGCAGTGTAGACATGGATATCCCATTTTGTTTCTCGATCGTCAGGAAGTGCTAAAGGTGCTGTATGATAATATTAGAGATAAGTCGAAGGTTCTAACCGAGAAACGTCTCGCGAAGATCGAGATGAATGAGAAGGGCGTCAAAGCAATCATGACGGATGGATCGGAGTTCACAGGTGATATACTGGTTGGTGGTGACGGGATTCACAGCAAGACTAGATCGGAAATGTGGAGGCTGGCTGAAGAGAAAATTCCGGGCTATATCCCTGCTGGGGAAGAGAATGGTAGGTCTTTATTTATTTGTTGATTCTTGCCATGTGGTGGGTTTTCATTGCCCTAGGTTTGAAACATATCTGGAAGCGGGGTCTCCATGAGTCTAGACTGCGGTCAGAAAATCAATGCTTCTTGGGGTTCTGAATCCTGTCAGAGCATTTAGATTTTTTACAGTGTTCAATGCACTTCAATTGTGGAGCTACTTTCATATGACAAAAGCTCAGATCTAGTTTGCTAGTCCAGACTATTTCACACACTATCAAGAAGTCAAGTTTCAAACATCAATCACACCCAGCTCTCACGCCAAACACCAAACACTCCCTTCCCTCCAAATACCTTAAAATCCCTCAACTAACACCATCCCAGCCCCTCCTTGCGACTACAGCTGCATCTTCGGCATCTCCAACTCGATCCCCGGCCTCGAACCGGGAAACCTCCACTCCGTCTTCCGCGAGAAAAAACTCCTACCTCATCAACGGCGGCCCCGAAGGCCGCGTCTACTGGTTCTACTTCTTCAAACACCCCACCACCCTCTACGGCCGCGACATCCCCCGCTACACCAAAGCCGAGGAAGCCGCCGTCCTCAAAGCCCACGAAAACGACCCCATCACCCCCGAAATCACCTTCAAAGTCCTGCAAGACCGCAAAATCACCTCGACCCTCACGGCACTCCCAGAATACGTATTCAAGAAATGGCATTTCGAGCGCATCGTCACGATTGGAGATTCCGCGCATAAATTCAACCCCATCAGCGGCCACGGCGGCAACTCTGCGTTTGAAACTTCCGCCGCCTTTGTCAATTCGCTCGTGAAATTGCTGAACATCTCCCCCAAACCCACAACGTCCCAAATCACAACAATGTTCGCGGATCTCCAAGCGCGGCGCGAATCGCGCGCGATAATCCTGAAAGATGCGTCGCACGAGCAACAGCGCACCGAGGCCATGGACGATCGTCTCCACAAATTCATCGCGCTGACGCTCTTGCCCCTCACGGATACTGAAGACGTCATGTTTAATTTCTCGGGAAACCAGCCGTACGCGGAGAAATTAGATATGGTGGAGCTTCCACCCCGTCCCAAACTCATCCCGTACAAAGATGAGTTGGCGCAGGCCCCGGAATTGCGAGGGCGCACTGGTTGGCTGCAGATGGCGGTTTATATGGCGCTGGCGGCGTGCGCGTATTATGGCATGTGGATGCATTCGAAAAAGGCGGGGTTGGCGGAGGAGTTTGCGGGGATTCTGAGGAGTCCGCGACGCGCGGCGGAGAAAGATCATAGGTTGGGGGTGTTGAGTGTGTATTTCTATGGCATGTTGGTTCAGCCTTTGGCTGTCTGGTTGGTGGAGGGTTGTCGCAAGCGTAATGATATGAATCTCGTGGCTCTGTAAGGAATTCTCTTTCACTTTCTCTTTCCCTTTTCTCGGTTTTCACATTTTCCAAAGAAAAAACAACTATCAAGAAATAAAAAACTAACACCCATCACCCAGCCCAACCATCTGGCTCGCCCTATCCCAGTACTTCGGCTTCGGCATCATCGCCCCCATCTTCTACACCGCCTACACCCTCTTCTCCAACGCTGAACCCTACTGGTGGCCGCTCTCCCGTCTCGTCCCCGCTCACTACATGAAAGCGATTCTCCCCTGCCTCCTCCTCTGCTACATTCTCCCTACGCTCCTCCTCATCCTCCCCCTCCCCCTCACATTCCCATTCCTATTCACCCTCCCCCTCACCCAAATCTTCCCCCTCCTCCCCTCCCTCACCACCCTCCTCACCTTCCTCAGCAGCACCATCCTCAAAACCCTCATCCCCCCACCCACTCAAACCCCCACCGCCTCCCACACCCCACCGACATCCGCCCCCTGCGCACCCTCTACCTCTCCACCTTCATCCTCGGTCTCCTACTCCACCTCACTTCTCTCATCTACATCTTCCTCGTCCCCAACCCCCTCCTCTCGCTCTCCTCCATCTTCCTCCCGACTCTCTCCAACATCCCCCCCTCCCCCCTCCACACCTACTTCCTCATCAATTTCTGGTCCTTCCACCTCGCTACCTACATCATGTGCTGCAACGCAGTATGGGACATCAAACGCGTCGGTCGAACCACCATCGATGTCGGCAAAGCCGCTGCGCTATTACTTCTTGCGAATGTGCTTGTGGGGCCTGGTGCAGCATTGGTGGGGTGTTGGTATTGGAGAGAAGTGCAGATGGCGCGTACTAGCGTTTCGGCTAAGAAATGAGTTGGTTTATTGGTACTGTACTCTACGACAAAATCGGCGGTTTAGGCGATGGATCAATCCAAGTAGAGAAAGCAGGAATAAATAAAGATAGTGGTGGCCTGAGATCACATAGCACATACATTACGATCTCGAGATGTGAAATAGACAATGAATGATTAAGATTAGTATCTCTTTCTATTAATTTAAATGAGTAGTAGAGTTTAGTTGCTACCCCCCTTCATCTATCTCTCCATTTATACATATTCCATATTCCATCATCCATCTATGCATTCATCCATTATCTATCAAATCCTCCAGCCTTTCAAGCACTTAACCCCTATCTCATGTGTCAAATCAGTATGAGGAGCCAAGTGAGCTGCCCTCACTTCACTTCAAAAGCAATAGCCATTTGGCCAAATCTTTCTTCCGAAACGCCAAAGGGGTATATAGTACAACGCAAAAAATGCAGCACATCCCAAAAAAGATCATAATTTCCATCCCACATGATCTAAAATGCAAACCGTAAGCTTGAAGTTATAACGATGAAATTGAAAACCAGCTCGAATCAGGAATTAAGCAGCAGCCATTTCAATTTTCTTTCCCTTAACACTATTCCATTCAATGGCCAAACTGCCAATAATAGTAAGTGCAGCCATAACCGCAGCCACCAAGAATGATTGCGTCAACGCATTGTTATAAGAAATTGTCACACCAGCCAAATATTCTGGTGCGATATCTTTTTGAATGCTAGTAGCACCTGTGCTTAAAACGACTGCTGGGTTGAGATCCGGTACATAATGTGCCAAATTCTGGGCAAGTTTATTTGTAAACACATTTTGACCAATGGAAACAAATAGAGCTCCTCCGAGTGTTTGGACAAAAATGATGACTGAAGTACCGGTTGGCACTTGAGAAATGTCGAGGACGGTTTGGCAGGCTATAAGAGGCTGTTGCATACCGAAACCAATACCGATACCAGCGAGACATTGGTAACCGATCCAGGCAGCGTGATTAGTGTCTGGCTTGAAGGTGGTTAGGAGACCAATCCCGATGGATGCGATGACCGAGGAAACGATCATAAGTGGTGCGTAATAACCGACTATTGTGACAAGGGCACCGGAGATGATACTTGAAGAATTAGTTAGTATGAAGTTCCGCGAAATTAAGAAAGATTGTACGAACCTGACAATGACCAAGGTCAAGACCATTGGTATGTTAGAAATGCCAGATTTGACAGCCGAATCCCCCTTGACGGCTTGGAACCAAATAGGAAGATAGTAGATCAAAAGCAGGAAGTATGATCCGAGACAGAAGGAGAACCATGCAGCAGACCACATGCTTCGCTTCTTCATAATGTTGGGTGGTACGGTGGCGCTATCTCCCTTCCAGAATTGGATGGCGATGAATATTCCGATCAACACTCCGAAAAGTACGAAAAGTGCGATGATACGTCCATTTCCCCAAGGATATTTGGTTCCACCCCATTGAAGTGCGAGCAATAGACAGATGATAGCTGGGATGAAGAATGCGGTACCTAGAAGATCGAATTCCTTTATGCGTTCTTTCCATGGGAGGTCTGCAACAGCTTCTCTATCGGGAGCTTTGAAGAAGACCAAAATAACAAGAACAGTAACTAAGAAATTGAACAATTAGCGATTGCTTTTCTCACAAAATTCTGGAGGGACTCACCAGCTCCAATTGGCAGATTGATTAGGAAGCACCAACGCCAAGTTGCTTTATCAGTCTGTTCAAGTCAGTGTTTGTGTCCTCGTAAAGTGAAATGTTACAAGTCAGACTTACGAATACACCTCCAAGTAGAGGTCCAGCAACAGAGGCAATACCATACATAGCTCCAATTAAACCAGTATACATGGGTCTCTTAACCAATGGGACTGAGTATGCGACAATGATCAAAGCACCAGAGAAGATTCCAGCACTACCCAAGCCAGCAATAGCTCTACCAATGATCAACGCAATTGAATTTGGTGCAACACCACAGATCAAACTGCCGAGCTCGAAGATACCAATCGCAACCAGGTAAACCCATTTTATCGAGAAGTATGAGTAGAATTTTCCAAAAAGGAGTTGAAAGGAAGCAGTGGTGAGTAAGTCTGGGAAAGGCATGATGTTAGTGGTCAAGTTCTACTTTCAACAATTTCTTCCCCATGGGGCTACAAAACCAACAAATAGTAGGGATTCTTACATGCCGATCCGTACCATCCAACATCGTTCAACGAGTGAAACTGATCAGTAATCTTAGGAATAGCCGTTGCAATGATAGAGTTATCCTGTTCGCCAATTAGAACACACATACACAAAAGAATACCATGATCCTAGGGAAACTCGACAAAACTTACCAAAGCCATCAAGAAGACTGATAAACATAAGGCCAAACTAATCAACTGTAATTTAACTCCAGTTGGATATTCTATACCCTCTGCGCTTGTGTGAACTCTGTTCAACTCCTCTTGCTGTATCTCTGCTGCACTTTTTGTCTTCTTCAACTCTATAGGATGATCATTATCGCCTTCATGGACCGAAGGCATGGTTTCCGAAGGTTTCTCTGACAACTCAGCGTCTTTCTTCATAGCTTCGCGTGCTAGAACCGCTTGTTCGGCGTCTGATTTCTCGTGCATGATGCTTGAAGAACTGATCGAAGCACTGGTAGTGGGTGGTACCTTTTGGTCTGTCATCATTTGGTATCCCGTTGTATAATGTTTCTCTTGCGGATGAGACTTCTTAGAAGTACGGGAGAAATGAGTAAAAGACAGCTCCAGTCGGCACCTAGATATCGTTCAAGTATTTGAAGAAGTAATCTTTAATTGACTACGAGGTATGTACTTTAAGAAGTCAGGTGTGAAAAGTAAATCTTGTATTTAAACCCTTGCCAACGGACGAATTCGGCGGGATTCCTCGTCCGTGTTTGGAACGGAGGAAAGAATAAAATGAACGGAGGATCGAAAATAAACGGATATAGAAGATGATAAAAGTCCGATTGGAGAGACTTGTTGGAAAAAAGAATGGCTTTGTGATAGATATAGAAAAGAAAATAAAAATATGCCCGGTAGACTAGGGCAACCCAAGAAATTGGAATTCTTTGACAGATAGAGGAATAGAGGGTCCAGGTCCAATTATATAAAATTCAATTAAAGAATCCTGGGGTAAAAAAGGTTTTTTCAATTAAGGTTGTTTTTTGAGTCGTCTTTGGCAGATGCTTGATGGATTATTAATCCAAGAAATAAGATCTAGGGAAAAGGTAAAAAGGGAAGAAAGACGATGAAGATTAATCGAATATAATATACGTGTATGTATATATATATACCCCTTCATCAACCGATAAACTCAAATTCGAGGATATACAGAAACAAAGGAGTCATCGGAGAAGAAGAATAAAAAAGTCTCCAAACACTTTCCTCTCCATCGATCCCTTCTACCTAAATCACATTATTCAATCAATTTCTCACTCACAACTTACCAGAGGAAAGCAAGAGAAGGAAAGGGTAAATGGAGGCGTCCCAATCCCCATTTCCATCCACTCTTCATCCCAGCCAACCTTTCCATCCATCTAGATTCTTCTCGACTCCTAGCCGAATCCGCTCGCTTTGGAATGACCAGATCCATCCCACCCAATCACACCCCACGTAATCCGATGCGAGGATTCCAAAAGTCGCCGCGAAACATGGACACGGATGTATTCAAGTGTCCGACGTTCATCCTGTGTTCTCCACCTGGGTGTTCATTCATTCTTGGTGCGAGAATTACTCGCTTTGATCCCTTGCGGCCTGGCTCATATTTACTCATCTCTTTCATTAATGATTCCATGAAGTAAGATAAGAGTCTGTAAGACGTCGGGTGTTCGAGAACTCAGAGGAAGCAGGCGTCATGGTTTTCGTCTTGGAATTAGGATGGTCTTACATCAAAACCAGGCAGGTATATGTGGTGACGAGTGCTGAATTTTGGTGAATTTCGCATCGTTCGCATCGCATCTTTTCTTGAACCTACGATGTGATGTGTTTTGAAGACCTGATAGACGGATGAAATGCATGACTAACGGTGAGCCCGTTTCGTGAGCTAGCTGAAGTGAATATTTAATATTACTTAGTACCGTACCTACTGGGTATGTATCGAGACCGCTCTCCAAAAAACCCCAACACCCGTGGACCTTGATGACACATAGCTTAGTCAATGAAATACTCCTCGGTTACGATTTCCGATTTCCAGTATGACCACGATCGACTCATATCGACTCTGTTACATGCCAATCGCCATGGTGTCGTATCGTCCTACAGCCTACAGGACACCATGTCCATTTCACGTACAATTTATTATATCGCGCCACGCCATTACAACCTTGGAAGAGTCCAATACCCACCTAGTAGTCAAATAACAATATGAACAATTTCCATTGGATTCGGAATCTCATCGTCACCAATTGAATCGATATATGATATCTCATCACACTCAAAGATAATAAACTATATCATATATCATACGCAAATACATAATCAAAGTAAAGATAACAAATCCCCTATTCTCCTATTCTCCTTGGAAAGTATCGTACTCCATACCTAGGTGCCTATCGTACATTATACCCAAATCCTAAGCTTCAGATTACAATTATACTAGGTACCTATAAACCAACCGACCAATCAACTAATCAACTAATCAATCAATCAACCCCCAAACTCTCTCTAAAAGTATCAATACCGGTACACTATCTAGTATCTAGTATCTACCCAGCTAACCCGACATCTAACCCGAGCCAAATCTACATACGGAGTACAAAGTATAAATCTCACCACATAGCATAGCAAGGAACAATAAAATCATCTACTACCCACTTCTAACCGAGGATTTTAGTATGTACATACTCTGTATATCTCTCTATCTCTACCTATCGCTGTCTCGCTCTTAGGTACTAAGTAACTACATAGGTAGCCATCAACCTCATCTTCATCCCATCAACCTCATCCCATCCCATCTATCCCATCCCTATCCATCCCAATCTCCAAATAAACTACAGCTTCAAAATTCAAATCCATAGCATAATTCCCATCCATCTAATCACCACAATCATTCCATACTACCTACATACCTACCTACATACCTACCTCCATACTATCTACCCAAATACCAACATACCCACCGCCTTCCTCCCCCCTAACTATCTATCTATCACCACTGTCCTCTCCCCTAAAACATACCATTCTGTACACGTATCCCCATTTAAACCCCTACTCAATCTATAAACCATAAGCTCACACCACCTTTTATCTTCACCCATCACCCATCACCCATCACCCATCCATTCACCGCCAAAAACTCATCTCATCTCATCCCATCTCATCCCATCCCATCCCATCCCATCCCATCCCATTCCATCTCATTTGATCCATCACTCCCCCTCCCACTTCCCCTCCCACTTCCCCTCCCACTTCCCCTCCCACTCCTTTACACAAGAAATTCAAGAACCCCATCCCCATCCCTATCCCCATCCATACCTACCTACCCTACCTACCCAACCAAACCAAGCCCTCACCCTCTCACCCTCACCCTCAAAATAAGAAAACGAGTACGAGATTCCTCAATTATTCTCCATACCTAGGTAGGTACCTGTGCAGGAAAACATACAACCACGCAATCTGAATCGATCTCAATCAATCTCAATCTCAACCTCACTCCACTCCGAAACTCATCAACAAACTCATCAACAAAATCATCATAAACACTGTTAAAAAAAGATTCTTTCATTATCGAGCTAGGTAACTTTTGAATGCCCAATCTATCAACCTCCCATGACCTCGACTACCAAGTATGCATGCGATGACCAGACCAGAAGAAGCCAAGAGTCCAAAGAGATTGAGACCTTTTATTTCCCCTTCCACCTAACCATCAGATCAAATCACCACATCACTTGCGTCACAAAATACATCGCTGCGTTTCTTCTTTTCACTTCCATCTTGAAATTTCTACTTTTATGTGTGAAAATATTACACACGTCTACCTATCCACCCGCTTAAGAAGTGCTTGGATCAAGAGTGACACCAGCAGCAATAGTGGCCCAACCAATCAATCTCCAATGCTTTTCAATACGACGGCTTAGCGCAACCTTCTCTCCAATGTTTGTGCAGGCTGGGTTAGTCAAGAGCAATTTGGCTGCATCTTGCTTGACAGCCATGACCTTAGCACCAGTAGCAGTAGATCCAATGTTGACCATGAGAACCTCGTTCTTGGTGAGCTTGGTAACCTTGGCTTGTTTACCATCAGCAGTCTTAACACCCAAGAGACGACGCAAGAGATAATAGTTGACTTCGATTTCAATGTAGATATCAGGAAGACGACCCTTGAGACCGAGAACGAAACCAACGAGACGATCGGCACGGCAAAGAGTTGGATCAATTCGAGTACCAACACCAATAAGTCCTCCTGGAACAGCGTATTTCAGTTCATTGTTCTCCGAGTTGAGAGTAATGATTCTGCTGAAAATTGGTTGACACTTAACACCTCCCTTTTCGTCGCGAGAAACGATACCGGGTCTAATCTCGATTTCATCACCCAACTTGATGACACCGTGCAAGATACTTCCACCAGCAACACCACCCTTCAATTCGTCAATTTCAGCACCCGGCTTGTTAACATCGAAGGATCGAATAACAATCATTTGTGGATCCATGGTGAAATCTCTTGGTGGAACAGGGATGTTGGAAACAAGAGCTTCGTTAACGGCATCGATGTTGAACTTCAGTTGGGCGGAGATAGGAATAATTGGTGCTCCTCCTGCAACAGTTCCTCTGATGAACTTCAATATCGATTGGTAGTGTTGGTTTGCGCCTTCTTCTCTCATCAAATCGACCTTGTTTTGTAGAATAATGACTTTGTCGAGCTTCATAATTTCGATAGCTGCCAAATGTTCCGAGGTTTGTGGTTGGGGGCAAGTTTCGTTTCCAGCAATAAGTAAGAGAGCGGCGTCCATGACGGCTGCACCAGACAACATAGTACTCATGAGAATATCGTGACCAGGGCAATCGACGAAACTGTAACATGTTAGCTATTGCCGCTGCGTAAAAGTGCAAGCAATGATAACTTACGATACGTGTCTCAAAAGTCTGTAGGTACCGCTGCATCCCTCTCTTTCACAGGGTGGGTCAACCTCCTTCTCACTCTTATAACTTCTAAAGCATCCAGGTCTTGGGCACTCTTTGTTATCGCATTGGTAGATCTTTGCATTGGCATAACCAAGCTTAATCGTAATGTTTCTCTCCAACTCGTTCTTGAAACGAACAGTTTGTACTCCAGAGATAGCCTTCACCACAGTTGACTTTCCGTGCGCCACATGTCCAATAGTACCAATGTTGATAGTTGCTTGTCTTGCGATAATCTCTGGGGTGAGGGGAGTCAGGGACTTGACATCCAAGTCTTTTGGTTCTGTTTGGGGTGGTAAGGTAGGTCGAACAATAGCTGGCGCAGGTTCTTTATGTGATGATTTCTTTAATGCGGATTTGATGGGCTTCTCGTCAATATCCTCTACATTGTCGTCAACCTCTTGCGCATCGAGATTAGGAGATCCTGGGTTAGAATCGGATTCAGATTCCAGATCGTTTCCAAACTTGTCACCGTTCGAAGCCATGTTGGGTGGTCGTTCTCTGGTGGGTTTTTGCTGTTCTGTTTGCTAGAATATTTGCGTAGCGGGGTAATCGGGTGAAATTCCTTTATGTGGAGCTATCTATGGTGGCTGAAATAATTTCAGATAACTCAAGATTCTCCCTAAGATACGATCTTAAATTCGAGAGATGATTCAAATGTCGTGGATAATACTCCTCGTTG